GATAACAAAATCTGTCGGATAAAAGAATTGACAACTCTCACTAGGACGTCCTCCACAATACCTCTAGGACTAATGACAGAAAAATAGGCCAATCAGACACTAAGCCTAGTGGTCTTCAATTCACCCAAATGCAACTTCCTAAAAACCTTATAAGGCATCACATTAATGCTTGCTCCTAAGTCCGCCAAGGAGTTTTCTATATGATGATTTCCGATGCAAAGAGGTATAGTAAAACTACCTAGATCCGGTTGCTTTTTAGGCAGCTTGTTGAGGATTGAGGTGGAGCACTCGTCGCCTAAGGTTACATTGGCGAGGTCTTCATATTTTGGCTTCATGGAGAGAAGCCCCTTGATGTATTTGCCATACCTAGGCATGTCCACCATGGCCTCCAATAATGGAATGGTAATGCGGAGCTTCTTGAGCATCTCCATGAATCCACTACATTCCGCCTCCAATCAGTCCTTGTGCATCCTCATGAGGAAAAGAAGAGGAGGTTTGTACTCAGCCGCTTGTGGTGGTGTCGGCAATGCCTTCTTAGGATCTTCTTCCATTTATCCCAATTCTCCTTGATCATTGGTCGTTAGAATAGTCTTCTTCTTTGGTCACTTCCTTAGGAACAACCTGCGGGGTCAACTTCCCGCTCCACAAAAGAATAACATTGCAACCGACATTTTGATCTTTGGGATTGACAATATTTTGAGAGGGTAGGGCTCCCCTTAGTCTCTCGGTGAGGATCCCGACAAGATTACCAATTTGCACCTCTATGTTTTGAAGGCTTGCTTGATGGCTCCTCAATCCCACCTCAATCGAAGTAAACTTTACTGTTGCCACATCCATAAATTTCTCAATCTTCTCAAACTTTTGAGTGCTCGTGGTCACGAAGGTGGTCACAAGGTCTTTACGTTTTGCAAACTTATCGGGTTGTTGGAACCCTTGACCACCTTGAGCTTGAAACGGTTGTTGGAAGTTAGAGCCTTGGAATTGAGGCCTTTGTTGAATGAAAGTAGGCCTTGGTTGATAAATTCTTGTCAGTCGTTGGAAACTGGGGGGTCTTGGGTTGGCATGAGAGAACCAAGAGAAATTGGGATGATTTCGCCACCCCGGGTTGTAAGTGTTGCTATAGGAGTTGTTCACTCTAGCATTGGCAATGAAACTCACTTGCTCCTCGGGGGCGCTTGATTCCTTCATCATTTGACACTCCAAAATTTCATGGTTGGTACTCGAACACCAATCACACACCATTATTGGCCTTCTCCCATGCTTCTCGTCCTCTAGGAGTGCATCAATCAACTGATCAATCTTAGCTTCAAGCGGATGACTCGCTACTACACTTTGCACTACTCTTGCGGTGCACCTCTTTCCACTTCTCGTCAAACCTCAATTATACCCTTTACTTGCCATGTCTTCGAGCAACTCGGTCACTTGGGGTGGAGTCTTGTTCATCAATTTACCTTTACATAAGGAGTCAATGAGGATCTTGTCTTCTTGGTAGAGACTGCCATAGAAGGTTTCAATCAGGAATTACTCCTCGAATCCATGATGTGGGCATTGGAGGAAGAAATCAGAGTACCTTTCCCAAGTATCCCTTAATGTCTCATCTTCCTCTTGATTAAAGTGGGTGATCTTCTTGCGCCACTCCGCCGTCTTTGAAGGTAGGCAATACCGAGTCATAAACTTCTTGAGCATGTCATCCACGAGGTGGTCGAAATAGCTGGTCTATTGTTGAGCCACCGAGACGCATTCCCCGCAAGAGAGTAGGGGAATAACCTCAACTTAAAAGCATCCTCAGGAAGTTCGATGAAAGTTCAATCTCCCTGCAAGTTCGATGAACTTCTGAACATGCTCCCTTAGAGACTCATTCCTAAGCCCATGAAATAGTGTGTTGTTTTGGATCATGGTGATGAGGGCAGGCTTGATCTGAAAATTGTTGGCGTGGGTGGATGTCAAATGGCGGGTTGAATATATACCGCATGTGGGTCTATATAGTAGCTCATGGTTTTTGGTTTCTCCTTCGCGTCCGCTCCTTTGGAGTAGGTTGGTTAGCCTCCATATCAGCTTCACTTTCTTCCTCTTCAGAATCAAACTCTTCCTCAACTACAACTTCTTCTTCTATCCTTCTTCTTGCCTCTGTCAGTTCCCTCTCATGAGCCAAGAGTCGAAGAGTACGATTGAGATTCTTGTCCAGTGGCGCCTAAGGTGTCGGATTACTTCAGGTCATACACCTCCCTACACACACTCAAAAGAACCACAACTCGTCAAAAACAAGCAAGATTCACAAAATCAAAAGCGAAAAGTAAAATTCATATTAACACCAAACAATCTTTTCAAAATAATGAACCGTTTGCTCCCCGGCAACGGTTCCAAAAACTTGACTCGTCGCCAATGTCACAATAAAACCCCCAATTAAGGCCCAAGTATAAACCTCAATTGGGTGCAATATAGGGGGAAGTATGTTTAAATGTCAACCTGAGTCGATTCATGTACCCTACTTCGATTGTTTATAATATTATCTAGCGATTGGTTTTTGGTGACAACGACAATCTATAGCTAAAATGGTTGGAAAAATAAATGGATTTGACACTAATTGGGAAGGCTTCACCCACTGTTGCTCCCCCTAGCTAGCAATTACGACTTTTTGGATCAAATGGACACGTGTGGTAAGGAGGTTGTAAACTGTAAAGAAGTGCAACAACTGTAAAGAAGTGCAACAAGTGGAAAAACGCCTTGCTCCTTGTGCTGAAGAGATTCTCCTTTGAGGAAGGAATTCCTAAAACCTTGCTGGAAGATGAAACCCTAGCTTCTTCTCTTTTTTGGTTCGTCACTTTCTCACTCTAGAAATCTTAAGAAGTAGAAGTTTCTCACACTAGGTCTCTCTCCCTTTTCCTTCAGCTCAAACCCCAATTTTATACCCAGGTTGGGCTCACATCACGGCCCATTTCACGGCTGTGAACTCAAGGCGTGGGTCATGATCTCACGCCAAAACACGTCGTCTCAATAATCCAGTTCAAGGTCTGCAGCTTGGGTTCACGATCTTACGACCGTGAACTAGCTTAGTCTAGTGAAAGCAAAAATTTCATGGATGCCTGGCTGTTCACTTCCATTCTAACTTCTGGAAGACGGAAAATTTTCCCCTCCATCTCCAAAATATTGGTGGTTGGAAATGGGAATCCTCGAACCCCCCCAAATTCCATCATTGCTCATGTGCAGCACCTTAAGCTTTGACTTCAAAACCTCGAAGGACATAAGAGCGGTCCTGCTATCCATTCGAAATTGTACGGCTCCAAAGTCAACTTGAAAATATCTTGCAAGTTGGGTGACAAACACTCATTTTTAAGTGCGGCAAGTCGATGATCCATCTCGTAGCACTTGAATATAGATAATATTGGCACCCCGAGATGAAGAGACAGTGGAAGATGCATGCTATGAAACAAGGTGACGTCTCTAGCAGTTAGGTTACCCTTGCTCTGGTTCTTTCCTCTCACGGATCTAGCAATCACGTGGTGTATGAGTCGCCGCTCCGGCTTCACCTCATTGGCTTTTGATAACTTCACATTCCATTGTCGACTATCGGGTTTCTTGACTTCAGCCTCATGGAATGTCTTGAAACAAGGGAAGTCGGACTACCTTGTCAAGGTAGCAAAGTCATTAGATGAATCAATAAAACTCACCGGGTAGATGTCCATCGCTCTTGTGAACTCCAAAATCCACATATGGCGATAATCTCCCCCGAGTTGAAACTGGATGTTATCTTTAAGGTCGTTGGCACCCTCATATCTCGAATAGTAATTGTACTGATAAACTCTAGAACAAGCACCCGGTATATATGTTCTTGAATAGAGAGCAACTTGAGCCATTCCAACTTCTATACTTTCGAGCGGATTGCATCTTCAATTCCTGGTTGGGCGAAAAGGGTCCAATTGAAACACGTACTTTTGCCTAGAGGTAATCCTTGAAGCCATAGAAGCTTGCTCTTGAATTGCTTGGGCATGTGTTCCAAAAAGTAGTGAGTGATGTGCTCGATGACACCTTCTACATTTGCTTGATCATCTTGATGGAGCATCCTTGATGGAAGTTGAAGATGTGAGAGTGGATGAGGCTCTTCAATAAAAACTTCTTTTGATTTGGATTTCCTTGTTTTCTTCTTTTGAATTTTGCGAGGACGAGAAGAGCGAGATGATGAGCTCTCACCATGAGCCATGTCTTTGGTCTTGTATATTATCCTTCAAAACAAGTGGTACACATTTGCACAAACCATCAATCCAAAAATTACATATCAAAAGGATAGCATTCCAATGAACTATCATTAGACCTATAAATTCTTCCACCCTCCCCCCCCCCCCCCCCACCCAACACGCACTTGAGTGAGACTAAGAATTTGCCCCCCCCCCCCCCCCCCCCCCCCAAGATAATGCAATTAAGGATACCCCTAAATCAATGTAGAAATAACTAATGATCGTCACCCCCATTCTATGAAGCTGGGTACCTAATCAAAAGAGTTGAAAATAATGAACTCTATGTAGTTGGGGACTTTCTACGAACACTAGGTGGGTGGTTTTTGAAAATGTCATAAATGCATGAGAACAACCCACCAATGTGGTTCATTAAAGAAAAGAGAATCAATCCCATGACATAAAGATGTCATTCTAGGCATACAATAGCCATTAAAGGTTCCAAGCATTCTACACATGTTGGGCAAGATAAGGTATTAAAAACATAAAACAGAGGAAGGTGTACCTTATATTGCTAGGGAACATGTTGGGAATCCAAAATCAATTAAAAATCTTTCTCAAAAGATGCTATAAAGATGAGATTAAAGAAGGTGGGTTGAAAGAGTAAAGAGGGGTGGAGAGAAATGGCATATAGATCTAGTAAGGTGTGAGAGAATGAACACACTCAAATCTAAAGAGGTTGTCATTACTTAAATAGAGTCAGGCAAGATCACGAGCTAGGGCACCTAAGATCGCGACCGCAATCTTTAGCCTCACAACCGCGATCTCTGCCCTGTCTAGGACAACTTATTTTCTCCACTTTCCTAAGTTCAAACTTTCATCCAAACATTCAAACAAACATCCAAAAGTCAGGGCTAAGTCGTATCAATCATTTTTCATGCATTTCTATGTACTAACCAAACTATTATTCAATCAAAAAGTAAAAGGAAAGATACACAAACTGAAACGTTGAGTTGCCTCCCAACAAGCGTGTCTTTAAAATTCTTTTCGCGGGACTTGATTCCTTAAGCTCAAATGGAGAGATCTCCATTCTTCACCGATGACCCTTCGTAGAATTCATACTTATGGTGAAGTCCAAGGTGAAGACCATGGAGTCTCTCAGAAGCCGCATCTGGTGCTGAAGATAGAAATGATCCATTTGAGAATTGAATTTCAAGTTGGTGAGGGTTAAGCTCCTTAGTAGAGATGTTATCATCCGTGAATGGCTTGTAGCATACCCCGAACTCTTCATTTTCAAGAATAGGAGGTAAGTCCCCCTTGACAAATCGGCTTCCCTTCTTTGGATGTATCTCTTCAAAGATGAACATTTGGAGCTTTCTTCCATGACCATCGGAGAGATGAGAACCCTTGAACAACTCTTGGGTCTCCTTTTTGCAAGAGAACTTTTCCTTTCCTGGTTTCTTCATAGCCTTGCAAGAATCACTCACTCCTTCAACTTGATTGTCATGGGTGTCAACATGGCAGACCATATTGAACCATTCTATCTCGACTCTTGAAGGTGGTGTGGTAGGTGGTGTAACTGGCTCACACTCCATGATTCCTCTTGGCTCCACAATGGATCTATTGGCCAACTAAATTTGCATTGAATTATGAATGAGTGGTCCAAGATTCAATTCATTGTATATCCCTGTAGGCATAATGTTGATGCTAGACCCAAAGTCGGCTAACGGATTCCAAAGAGTTTTATCTCCAAAAGTGCATGGAATAGTGAAGGTCCCCGGATCTCTTAGCTTGGGGGGGAATCCTCCATAGCCAATGGATGCCAAAGAAACTTCACTAACGGATATCATAGCCAACTCTTCCATTTTTCTCTTTCCCGACAATATCTCTTTCAAAAATTTAGTATATTTAGGAATCTTCAACACCATGTCTAGGAAAGGGACAGTTACCTTTAATTGCTTCAATATATCTTTCCATGGAGCACATTCATTATATAGATCACTTTCAAATAATCGTCTAGGATAAGGGGCTTTCGATGTTGGCTCGGGTTCATGAGTCTTCATAGACTTTTTCTCATCTTCAGCATTGTCTTCAATGGAAGGTTGAACTTACTCCCGAGCTAACTCCTTCAATGGTCGGCCACTCCTTAGAGTTACCTCATGACATCCTTCTTTTGTGTTAGGCTCGGTATTGCCTGGTAGAGTCCCTTGAGGTCTCAATGAGATATTTTGAGCCAATGAACTTAGTTGAGCTTCATGATTTTGAAGTGAAGCTTGTTGATTTCTTGACCCGCTTCCAAACTCGAGAATTTGGTTGAGGTATTTTCTATGAACTTGTCAATTTCTCCATCTCAGATTATAAGTCAAGCTATAAGGGTTATTTCCTCGGGATTGACCTCCAACAAAGTTGGCTTTCTCAAATTGAGGCTTCAATCATAGACTTGCATTCTTCCATGTTATTACTCCAATCGCCACACCAATCACATTTCATAAGTTGCTTCTCATTTCTTTTCATTGATGATGCAACTTGATGATCTTCTTGTAAAGTTCTTGAATATGGGCCGATAGAGATGATGGTTCTTCGATCTTAGATAAACATCCTTTTGATATGCTCTTACCCCTTCTTCTAGCGCCCCAATCGTAGCTATTAAGGGCCATCTCTTCAATTAGTTGTTGAAGTTCTCCGACTTCTTTGTTCTGGATGGCACCTCCACTAGCCGCATCAATGAGGCTTCATGATTCCTTTGTTAACCCATTGTAGAAACTTTCAACTCGCAACCAATCGGCTATGCATGGTGAGGACACTTGAGTAGGAGAGATGTGAATCTTTTCCATGCTTCGAACAATGGTTCATCCTCCTATTGACGGAACATAGTAATCCCACTTCTCATCAAAGCCGTCTTAGAATGTGGAATGTACCTTGCAAAGAACTTGTTGCATGAATCATCCCATGAGGTGATAGAGTGATGTGGTTGATTATTCAACAACTTTTTTGCCGCTCCATTCAAGATAAATGGGAATAACCTCAGTTACATAGATCATCCCATGAGGTGATAGAGTGATGTGGTTGATTATTCAACAACTTCTTTTTCATGCTTCGAATAGCTTCTTGCGGAACCTCGTTCATATTGATCCCATCCGTCAACTCGTAGAATGACTTGAAATGTGCATGTGCATCTTCACTCATCATCCCATTGAATTGAACCGCACTTTAAAGCATCGAAATTTTGCCCAGCTTTATCTCATAATCATTGTTTGGCAACATCGAATGAAGAATAGGTGATTGAACATTGTCCAAACTTGGCCTATATTAAGAACCCATTGTTGTTTTCCTTGGTGGAGATTAAGGTCTTGCAACTCTTCTTAAATTCCGAAGGGTCCTCTCGATTTCATAATCAAAAGATAGTATTTCCAAGGAATTTCTTCTTCACATACAACGAAGCTACAAACCACAACCTCAACAACCCGTGACATACAAAGTTGTATAACAAAACAAACAACGATACAAATACGAAAAGAAAAAAACACGAAACAAACACACAAAAACACACAGTACAAAACAATCACACAAAATAAAACACAAACACAACGCCAAACAAATAAAGCAAGGTAAAAACTAACTAACAAATTAATGGTTTTCTACTAGTTACCAAGGGTCCCCAGCAACGGCGCGAAAAAGCTTGATCACTTGAATCCGTGTAGGTTATAGTCAGAGGTTAGCACGTATCAACAACTATAACATCCTAGGCCAAGTTTAACCTAGAACGACAATGTCGCATAGTGATAATCAAGGTCATATTCTACTCAGGTCCTGGTACCCTAGCCTACTTCCCACTTAGTTGCTAATTAGTTAAACCGTTTTTGAGGTTTTGAGTTGAGGATATGAGGAAACTAGAGTCTAGAGATTGATCAAAGCTAAAAGCAGGTACTTCGGGAACTATCTCTCCCCCTAGCTTAGGGTTACTATTTATTTCTAGATAGTTAGGGTCATCGAATGTGGTGAGTGAGCTCTTTTCCGTGGGCTTTCATGGTTATCCACACGCCTCCGGTATGCCTCCCCTAAACCCATGTTCCAGTCACCTCGATCTAGCCTATCGTATCTGGGGCACTAAGCTTGTGGCTCATTTCAATGGAAACTATCCATCGTCCATAGCAAGGTTTCATACCGGGTTTCATCTAGGAAGGCTACCTATAGCAGGGGTTCGGACTCCTCGACCACTATAGGCCCCCATTCACACATCTAACCTAAACTCGCAAGATGGTGCATACCCATCTAACCCTAGAACTCCATACCCAGCATGTTAGCATAAAGTAGGCTAAGAGGGGAGATTAGGGTGACTTACCTAAGCGTCATCATTTAGGAAAGAGTGGGGTTAAAATCAACTACACAAACACATTCATTCATTCAAACCCTAAAATATCCATCCGGGATGCTTGAGAGAGATATCAAGGTCTCTTCCTGAAGGGTCCCAACCATAGTTTGAACGATGCTTTCAAGGTGGGTACCTCCTATCGGGCTCTCTTCCCTGAAGACAAGCAGCTGATTGACTAGGTTAGTGGCGGGTACATGCTTACCAAGATGCCACTGCAGTTGACCCATCTCTTTGATAAAATGACAAAGCAGGGCTATGATTGGGGTCTGTGAGGAGATCTCGGCGAGCACCGGCCCGTGGTGTGCATGTTGAGGATACCCTTTTGTCCGATCTAGTGAGTGTGATCACTAAGCTGGTCACGACACTTGATAGAAATGGGATGGTTGTTGGTGCAGAGCAGCAGCAGGCGATGTTTTCCAGTGGTGCGAGAGCAGCCACCACACAATAGAGGACTTTCAGACAATGAGGGAATCTACTACACCTAAAGAGCAGCTGGACTTTATTGGCAATGCTAGGCGTTTCGAACCCTACAACAACACTCATAACCGTGGGTGGTGGCAACATCCTAATTATAGTAATCCTAAGCCACCAGTCTCCCAGGGACCACCAGGCTTCCAGATGTAACATCCCGTTTCGGTTAAAATCGTATTACGATCACTAAAAAAATTACGCGATTAAAATTGAGTGTTTTGATAGTATTTCGACGAAAATTGGATTATCGATCGGATAAGTATACGTACTAATAACATATATATATATATATCTCCGGCCCATTTAATTCCCTTCCCCGCTCCATTTTCTTTCCCATCAACATCGGCTCATTCTTTCTTTTTCTGTGACAGAGAGAACTAGAGAACCAGAGCGAACAGAACGCAGGACAGGGGAGCTCACTAGAATTTTGTAGAGCTCAATTCTTGAGCATCTATGATCCAAAAATCCTGTACGTAATTGATATGATCTCAAATAGACAACTCTACACGTTTAAATTACTTGACGAAGAAGCTATCGAAGTTGGAAAGAATAAGGGCAGAATTTGGTTCAAGTGTTGGAACAGTTTCGAGATACCTACTTTAAAGGCTTGGTTCTCTCAATTGGCTCAATGAAAATTTGAGTTTGATAGCTTTTATTGGAGATAAAAAGATTATCTACACGATGATATGCTTGGTAGCTCAAGGAGAAGTCCAGAAGGTCAATTTCGAGACGTGTAAAGATGCTATCAGGAAAGCTGAAAACTGCCAGAAAATGGTTCAAGTCTGGAAACTGTTTTTTGAAGCCTACTTTAGAGATCAATTCGAGGAGCATGGAAGGGATTCAAGTCCAACGACTTTTACAACATGAAAATAGTTATGTTTATCTACCAATGTAAGGAATTTGATGAAAGATTGGAGATCTGGAAGGCTTTGAACGAAAGGCACGAAGTTAGTACAAAATCACAGAATTTCTGCCTTTATAAAACAGGATTTTCTTTCCTTATTCAACTATGATTGTTAGATTTGATTCCTTTTCGAGTTAGATTGTATTTAGAATTCCTTTTTAGTTGTTAGACGTAGCTCAGGGTTATTTAAAGCTTTCTTTTACGTTGTAAACTCGGACTTGGATGAATTAAATTGAAACCTTTGGGTTTTGGCATGTTTGCGTACTTGTGCGAGCTTTCGTGAATTCCAAGCTAGTTGAGCTCCGTATCGATTGAATAGTCACTTCAATCATGGTCGGGCATCTATCATTATACCAATCGAGCCTTTCCCCAAGTGTGGAATTGCACTTTTGGTTCCGTTTTATCCAAGTTCGTATTAAGAACGTTTCGTTCTTGATTCGAGTTCAATCGATCCTTCGATTGAGTCGTTAGCTGCTTAACTTTGATAATATACACCCCCCATGGTCGTATTAGTAATGCCTAATTCATCCATACACCGAGGTTATTAATTCTCTAGTTCTAATCCATGAATTTTGGCTATTATTTAGGTCGGAGCCGGAATCGCTGAATTTAGCTCTGACTAGGGTTTGATGTTTTTTTATCGAGAATTTGATCCGGAGCCTAGAACTAAAACCGGTGTTTGAACGACCAGAACTGGTGAGGGATTAACACGGCATACCGGGATTGTCGTATCATGATATTTATATTGATGCTTAGAATTTACCAAGGTGAACTAGAAAGGCATGACTAGGGGTGTATGGACTTTTGTGATATATGATGAACCCTTGAGTGCTATATGATATTATTGTCTTGCCCTAATCCTTATGGACCTTGTTTATACTGATAATTGCGTATATGTTGCAAATTGTG